GACGACTTTTCTGTCTCGAATTTTATTTTTGTTAGCAAATATTTGGTTTCGTTTCGCACTGATGAACTTTTTACCGCGTAACTTTTGGTATGTTTATGAGATGATATTTGTGAACATTTTGAGTATTTTCTGGAAGACTTTACTGGGTATTTTGGATTCTATGGCATTTTAATTGAACTACGAACTATCTGGATATTGAAAAATGTTGCTTCAATACAATAAAAGTCTTGCAATGTTGTTTTGTATTATCTATGGTAATTTGGTGAATTTCTGAATCAGTGAATTCTATGTAAATTCCGTATACTGCCGTTATGCCGCTGACTATTTTTCTAACATAATCCGATTTTCTGATTTGAATGATTTGATGTGTTGTGATATCAGAAGGGAGTTATAAGTGGCCGAAATCCTTTGTGATTCCATTATCTAGGTCAGGAAAATCTGAAAAACAAGTTCTGTTCTGAAAATTTTGTATATCTGTTATGTTCTGGTGCTATAAGCACAAAGGGAGACATAAGGGGCCAAAATCTGTTGAGATTCTATTTGTGTCAGGGAAGGGAGGCATAAGGGACCAGAATCCATTGAAATTCTATCAGGGTTCAAGAATCTGATATGTGTTCTATGATATGTGATCTGATTGATCTGATATTAAATGTGATTTGAGCTGATTTGAAATCTATTCCATAGATTCTGTTTGTTCTGTGAAATCTGATTTGAATGTTCTACTATGTGATATGAATTCAATTCTTATGTATCAGTTATTTAATTTCTGTTCGATATCTATTTTGTATGATTATCTGAATTCTGTACGACTATTTGAATAATGGCTTCTGATGTATTTTCTGATGTGTATTTCTGGAGATTTTGATTGGTTGGTGTAGTCTTGCTGAGCTGTTAGCTCATTCTTATTATCTACGTGGTTTTTAGGTTATGGGAAAGGGAAGAAAATCTTGGACTAGCAATTCCGTGTCAGATCAATTATTAGGTATTTTGTACTTTTGATTTTTGTACGTCATGACTTTTCTATTCTATTCTTTCTATCGGTAGCCATGCACTGTATTGTACATGATTATTTTGATGAAAGGAGAAAATGATAGATGAACTGTTCTGTATATTTGGAAGTTATAGTAGCTCTGTATTTTCTATTCTGTATGTCTGAAATTTGGAAGATTGTCTGAAGCAAATTCCAAAACTAGATCCTGGATTTTCAGCATTTGTCGCAGCCCAACACGAAGGGATTCATTTCAGTCGGGTTGGGTCGTGACAAATCTTTAGTGGTATCAGAGCAATGGTTTTGGAATTTGGATTATAAGACAGAGCTATAGGAATTAATCTGTAAGTCTGGTGCGGTAGTTTCTGTTTGTTTAGATTTTTATTATTATTGTTTCATATGCATGTGCATAGTTGCATTCTATGTTATTATGGATCTGTCAGACCTAGATATGACTGATGGGCAGAGTGCTAGTTAGGAAGCTCCTGTGAATAGTACTGCGCCATTGGTTGGTTCTGATACAATTTCATAGTTTGCTATATTGGTTGCTTAGATGATGAGCGAGACTCAGAATAGAGCATCTACTATTAGATTTGAAGATGTAGATAGACATCTACAAATATTTCTGAGATTGAAGCCTCCGAGATTTGAGGGCACTGTTGAGCCTAGAGCAGCTGAGGTTTGGTTGAGGAGATTGGAAAACACATTTGACGGTATGCAATGTCCTTCTGATAGGAAGGCACCGTTAGCTATTTTTCTATTGGATTGGGAAGCAGAGCGCTGGTGGATGGGCTAGCAAGAGGAGAAATTCCAAGGTAAATTGAACTCCCTGATTACTTGGGAAGAATTTTCTGAAGTATTTCGATCGTGGTTTGTACCCCCTTCTGCAAGATAGCAAATACAGGAGACTTTTTTGAGGTTGGTTCAGGGGAGCAGGACAGTGATGCAGTATGAGATAGAGTTTACTGTTTTAGCCTGATATGCTCCATAGGTTCTGAGTACTTATGTAGAGAAGTGCTATCGATTTCTGAGGGGACTACGAGATAGTCTGAGGCATCCCCTGGTACTAGTTTATATTTCTGATTTCTCTGAGCTTATTGAGAGAGCTCATCTGATAGAGAACGATCTGATGGCTACCAGCAGCGGTGGACTACAAGTAGGAAGAGATTCAATGGTGATGCTTCTAGCAGTGGTTTTTTTGGAAAGAAGAGATTTATTTCTGGAGACTTCAAGAAGAGTGGACAGTCAGGATCCACTACAATTTCTAGTAGTGGCAGTGTGACCAGTTCTAGGTTAGTCAGTGGGGCACCTGTGTGTCAAACTTGCGGACGATGATATTTTGGCCAGTGCTATAGGATGACTGGTCAGTGTTTCAAATGTGGTCAGTCAGGACATTAGATTGCAGAGTGTCCACAAGCTAGATTTGACCGGCGATCTGTATCCAGATCAGAGAGCTTTTCTAGATCAGCAGGAAGATCGATGACAGTTCCTCCATTTACTATTTCTGAATGCTCATCTGGTAGAGCTGGTGGTCCGGGTTCTCTGGCGAGGAGACCACCTAGTGGTAGTTAGAGGGAGTCTGATAGTTCTGTAGCTCTAACTCAAGTTCATCCACGTGTGTATAGTTTGAATCAACAAGAGGCTCAAGATGCTCTGAATGTGGTAACAGGTATGATTTGTATTTCTGATCATTCCTGTCATGTTTTGTTTTATTCTGAAGCTAATCACTCATTTTTGTCCGAGCATTGTTTTGATGTTTTGCATTTGGATTCTATGACGTTATCGGTTTCTCTTTCTATTCTTTTGCCGGCTGGGAATAATTTGATTGCCCGGAAGTTTTGTTTCTGTTAAATTGATATTTCTGGCAAGAAGTGGAAGTCGTGTTTAATTTTGTTGTCAATTTCTTCGTATGACATGATTTTGGGTATGTATTGGTTGAGTCTGTGTGAGGCTCAAATTGACTGTTTGAAGAAACAAGTGAGATTGCTTATGGATGGTGAAAGATGTGTATTCCGAGGGTTAAGAGGTGTTTTGTCTTGTTTGATTTCTGTGTTGGAAGTCAAGAGAATGTGGAAGAAGGGCTATTCGGTGTTTTTGGCATCCGTACGGGATATAAATATAGATTCGGGTTCTATTTCTAATATCCTGGTTGTACGATATTTTCTAGATGTATTTCTTGAAGAGTTGGTTGGATTACCTCCGAATAGAGATGTTGAGTTCTGTATTGATGTTTTTCCGGGTACGGCTCCGTACAGGATGGCACCGAAGGAATTTTCAGAGTTGAAAGTTCAGCTCCAGGAGTTGGTGGATAGAGAATTTGTCTGTCCTAGTGTTTCTCCTTGGGGAGCACCTATTTTATTTGTAAAGAAGAAGGATGGGACAATGCGTATGTGTGTTGATTACAGAGATTTAAATAAAGTTACAATCAAGAACAAGTATCCGTTTCCACGGATTGATGATTTGTTTGATCAGCTGGCTGGATTTTTTGTATTCTCAAAGATTGATTTGAGATCTAGATACTATCAGGTGAAGATAAATGAAACTGATGTGATGAAGACAGCTTTCAGTATTCGATATGGGCACTACGAGTTTTTGATTATGCCATTTGGGGTTTTTGGTTATGCCATTTGGGGTAACCAATGCACCAGCTATTTTTATGGATATGATGAACAGAGTATTCAAGGAGTATCTGGATCAATTTGTGATCATCTTTATAGACGATATTCTGGTATATTCTGCTTCTGAGGAAGATCGTGCCAAATATTTGAAGAGTGTGTTGGAGACTTTGAGGCAGCATCAGTTTTATGCTAAATTCTCCAAGTATGAATTCTGGTTGAAGAGCATTTCTTTTCTGGGTCATATGGTGAGCGACGAAGGTATTTTAGTTGATCCCCAAAAAATTCAAGCTGTTGCTAATTGGCCAAGGCCTACTACGATATTTGAGATACATAGTTTCTTGGGTATGGCCGGATATTATAGGAAGTTTGTGAAGGGATTTTCTCAAATTTCTATACCTCTGACGAGACTGACTCAGAAGTCAGTAGCTTTTGTTTTGTCACCGGAGTGTGAAGCTAGTTTTCAGAAGTTAAATGATTGTTTGACTTCTACTCCAGTGCTAGTACTTCCATCTGGTACAGAAAGATTTTAGGTATTCAGTGATGCTTCACTGAAAGGTTTGGGTAGTGTTTTGATGCAGCATGGTCAAGTAATAGCTTATGCTTCAAGGCAGTTGAAATCACCTGAAAAGAATTATCCGATGCATTATTTGGAGTTTGCTGCAATTGTATTTGCTTTAAAGATTTGACATCACTACTTGTATGGCGTCAGGTGTGAGATCTTTACGGATCATAAGAGCTTGAAGTACGTTTTTACTCAAGAAGGATCTAAATTTGAGGCAAAGAAGATGGCTTGAATTGATCAAGGATTATGATCTGATGATTCAGTATCAGCCTGGTAAAACCAATGTGGTAGCAGACGCTCTGAGCCGGAAGTCTTGTGGATTATCAGGTATTCAGCTCACTCTGATGAGTATCTGATACGAGATATGGAGAGATTACAGTTTAAGGTGATTTTTTCTGCTGGTTCGGATTTTGGTGTGTTGACTCAGATAAATATTCAGTCTTCTTTAGAAGAAAGGATCCATGAAGCTCAAAAGTCAGACATTGACTATTTAAAGTTGATTGGTCAAATTGAATCTGGTAAGAAACCTGAACTACGACTTTCTGATTATGGTGTTATTTTCTGTAAGAATAGATTGTGGATTCTTATGTTTGGAGATCTGAGGAAAGAGATTCTGTACGAATCTCATCATTCAGGCTATACTATTCATCCAGGAAGTGGTAAGATGTACGGAGATATGAAGAGTTTGTTTTGGTGGCCTGAAATGAAAAAGGATATAGCATAGTTCATTTCAAAATGCGAAGCCTTTTTATTAGTGAAGGCAGAGCATCAGTGACCAGGCAGTCTTTTGCAGTCCTTGCCTATCCCTAAGTGGAAGTGGGAGGAGGTAACGATGAATTTTGGTATAGGTTTTTCTCGATCAAGGCAAGGAAATGATGCAATTTGGGTAATTGTTGATCGATTGACGAAGTCTACATATTTTCTTCTGATCAGACAGACGGATCAGGTGGATAAGTTAGCTCAGGTATATGTTAAAGAAATTATCAGATTGCACGGTGTGCCAAAAGTGATTATATCTGATAGAGATGGATGATTTACTTCCAGATTTTAGAAGGGTATTCAACAAGGATTGGGTACGAAGTTGCATTTCAGTACTATTTTTCATTCGCAGACTGATGGACAGTCTGAGAGAACTATTCAAGTATTGGAAGATCTTCTGAGGTTATGTGTTTTGGATTTTGGAAGCAGTTAGGAAGATCATATCCCATTGATAGAATTTGCTTATAATAACAGTTATAAGTCAAGTATTGGTATGGCACCTTACGAAGCTCTGTATGGCCGAAAGTGTAGAACTCCTTTGGCTCTGACTAAAGTGGGAGATATACAAGAAATGGGGTCATCCTTTGTGAATGAAACTGTTAAGAAAATCAATCTGATTAAAGAAAGATTGAAAGCTGCATAAGACAGGCAATAAAAGTATTATAATCAGAAGCACATATTTGTAGAATTTCAGGTTGGTGACTTTGTCTATGTCAAAGTCAATTCAATGAAAGGCGTCAACAGATTTGGAAGATTAAGTAAGCTCAGTCCAAGGTATGTCAGACCTTTTGGAATCATTGAAAGGATTGGAAAAGCTGCTTATAGATTATTATTGCCTGATCAGATGTCTGACGTATATAGCGTGTTTCACGTATCCTCTTTGAGAAAGTGGATGTCTGATTCTGAAAAGAAACTGTCCGTCGATGATGTGGAGATTCAGGAGAATCTGCAGTACAAGGAAGAGCCTGAAAAGATTTTGGCTTATGAAATTCGTAAGTTAAGAAGTAAACAAATTCCTATTGTTAAGATTCAGTGGAAACACAGAACAGCACGAGAAGCTACTTGGGAGAAGGAGTCGGATATGAGACAATTATATCCATATATGTTCTGACTCAGTTTAGTTTTGGAAATGTCGAGGACAACATTTTTTTGAAGGTGGGGAGATTGTGAAAGCCATTTTTCCTTCCAGGTTCGTCCGGATGAAGTTTTTCCTTCCAGGTTCGTTCGGGACGATCAATTCAAAATCAGGTGATAGAGAAGTTTGTCCCAGGATGAAGTAGGATTCGTCCGTACGAAATTTGCCCAGAGAGCAACTCATCCAGGAACGATAACTATTTCGTCTGAACAAAATTCGTCAGTGGGTAAATAGCCCCGGGATGATTTTGGATCGTCCAGGACGATCTGCATGGATATATATGAAAATGAGATCTTTTTGAAGAGAGAGAAAAGCTAGGAGAGAGAAAATCGAAGGAAAAAGAAGAAAAAGTGATTTTTGGGCAACTTCGGTCCGTTTTCGTCCGTCGCTGTAGTTGAAAAAGTTGACCGGCTCGAGGTAAGGCACATTCCACCTTTCTCAATTTTCATAAATGAGAATTTTGACTACTTTTCTGTCTCGAATTTTATTTCTGTTAGCGAATATTTGGTTTCATTTCGCACTGACGAACTTTTTACTGCGTAACTTTTGATATGTTTCTGAGATGATATTTGTGCACATTTTGAGTTTTTTCTGGAAGATTTTTACCGAGTATTTTGGATTCTGCGGCATTTTAATCGAACTACGAATTATCTGGATGTTGAAAAATATTACTTCAGTACAATAAATGTCTTACAATGCTGTTTTGTATTATCTGTGGTAATTTGGTGAATTTCTGAATCTATGAATTCTGTGTAAATTCTGTATACTGCTGTTATGCCGCTGACAATTTTTCTAACGTAATCTGATTTTTTTGATTTGAATGATTTGATGTGATGTGATATCAGAATGGAGTTATAAGGGGCCGGAATCCTTTGTGATTCCGTTGTCTAGGTCAGGGAAATATGAAAAACAAGTTCTGTTCTACAAAATTTGTATATATGTTATCTTCTGGTGCTATAAGCACAAAGGGAGACATAAGGGGCAAGAATCCGTTGAGATTCTGTCTGTGTCAGGGAAGGGAGGCATAAGGGGTCAGAATCTGTTGAGATTCTATCAGGGTCTGGGAATCTGATATGTGTTCTATGATATGTGATCTGATTGATCTGATATTGAATGTGATTTGATCTGATTTGAAATCTATTCTGTACGATTCTATTTGTTCTGTGAAATCTGATTTGAATGTTCTGCTATGTGATATGAATTTAGTTCTTCTGTATCGGTTATTTGATTTTTGTTCGATATATGCTCTATATGATTATCTGAATTTTATATGGCTATTTGAATAACGGCTTTTGTATTTCGAAGAATGTCTGAAGAAAATTCTAAAATTAGATCCTGGATTTTCAACATTTGTTGCGGCCCGACGCGAAGGGATTTGTTCCGGTCGGGTTAGGTCGTGATGGACCGGATGCAAAATGCCATCCGGAGATCAATCATAATGCGCCATGTTAGCAGTATCAAGCCGCACGTGATACCGAGCATAGGGTGATGTGGCACATTCTGGTTGATCTTCAAACGGCGTTCGACGTCCACACAGAATAATTAATCTATTCAAATGGCTCATTTGTAGGTTGAGGGGAGTTTGAGGAGTTACAAAATGTTTTAGCAAATTTTGAGATTTTTTGGATTTTTTTTTTTTGAAATTTTAGAGACTTGCTTTCAAGTTTTTTAGAAATTAAATAAAAAAAACTAAACAAATGGAATGAAATGGTATCCATTTTAATTGTAAAAAAGTATCAAACTACATTAATACATGCCCAGATAGTAATGCTGGCGAGCACAGTCACTGCCTATACATGTTCAAGCCCAACTTTGGGATCAAACATGTCTTTATTGTGTCCATAAGGCCTTTTTTTATGTTTTGATCTTATTTTTTAAACTTTTAGAGTTCAGTAAGAAAATTTGTGGAATTTTGATTTTTTTTCAAAATTTCTCTAATTTACTCGCCAATCCAATTAATATGTAAGGTTGAAATGATGGTTTCAGAGAATTCAATTGGTTCATGACTCTGATGTGAGACACATATTAACATCTTGAGATTAGTTGTATAAATTTCATTTTTAAGAAGAATAATTTTGTATCATGAATTTTCAGTTCTCAAAATTTTTTTGGATGATATATATTTTAATGTATGAAAATAGGGGACTAATGATGCATTACCAAAAATCCATTTGTTCAAGCTTGAATCCTAATGCAAAATTGGATTTGGAAACTTTTGATATTAAATTAGGGCCAAATAATCCTTGAATATAACATGCTTAAAAATTAAAATCAAGATGAGTACTTCGATGGAAGAATTTAACGAGACCATAATCACTCAATTCTTAAAACATTAACGAACTTAAATAATGAAAAATAATATATGCTTATGAGAATAATAATGGGATGTTCAATGGACTATTTGAGAACTTAGCTAAAACTATCAAACTATTCTAAAAAATTATAAATAAACTCAAATTCTTCATATTAAAGGGATCTTGATTTTGACTTTGGAGAAAGCCTACCAGTTTAATTTCATAACTCCAAAGCCCTATCTAACCCTCAATAATAATTTTCATCACCAACCTTCATTATCTGACCATCATTGATTAATCTCACTTGATCATCGTAGCTCATTTTTCATTATTAATTTTACCACCATTCCTTAACCATTATAGCTCACTCATCATTCTGATCACCTCCATCTGACTAGGGGTGTCAATATTTGACACGACACGAAAATCAGACCCAAAATTTTTTGGTTAGACCTGACCTAGTTTCAAAATGAGTCGGGCTCGATTTGACCCATCGGGTTTTCAGGTCCCCAAAAACCCGTTTGAAATGAGCTGATTGCGTTGCCTGAGCTTGCCCGCACGCTGTTGACCTCATTTTTGTGTGAGGTCACTAAGATCCTTCCAGAATCCAGATCCAATCCTAGACCCTAGGATCTACTCTAGACTTTAGGATCCTTCCTAGAGCTAAACCTTAGGATCCTTCTAGATCCTAAAATTCCACCAACACACGCCCGCCTGAGGTTTGCACACGGCTTCCCGCAGTTGCCCGCGCCTGCCCGGGCATGCCTGAGGTTGACCGCTCGCTCCAGTGCACAGCCGAGGCTGACCATGTCGGCTCGCTCCAGAGCCTGCCTGCCGACACTCTCGTCCACGCCTACCTGCACTCGCTTCTACAAACACCTCTTTTTTCCACTCACAGCAAGGTAGAGAACCTTCCTCCTTTTGCTTCCTCCTGAAGCAGGCAGAGAACCTCGATTGCTTGATGGAACTTACCTCTCCCAACCCTTTCAAGGACAAGATACACTAGGAAAGAAGAAGTGGAACAATGCTTGGAGCAACCCTTGTGAATCCCCTCACAAGCTCCCCCTCACAAGATCCTCTCACTCTCTCTCCTTTAGGTTTTCTCAGGTCAAGATAGCAGACAAGGATGTTCAAAAATGTTGAACAAGAGCTCTTAAATAGAAGAGCTTCATTAATTGCAAGTTACCGACAATATCTACAGGCCGATATGGACATCGTCCAGGCCGATCAGTACAAATCCCATGAGATCGGCCAGAGCATCACCCTTAATTCAAACTGGATGATTGAAAATTGGCTTGATCATCCAGGACAATCTCACAATCGTCCAGGCCGATCAGTTCAAATCAGAGGCAAATCGTCCAGAGCATCGCCCTGAATTCAAGCTATCCTATCCCGATCATCCATTACATTCCCCTGAATTTGTGCTGGCCGATATTTATCTTCTAGAAGTAACTAAGGTTTTTGAATAGATCATTCTGGCTGATTCTGCAATCGTCCAGGACGATGTGATCGTATCAATCATCCTTAATTTCTTCCTTGATTTGTCTGATTAATTAGGGCATAATTGTGAATATTGTCCAGGCCGATCCAAGATCGTCCTGGCGAATTTCCAAAAATACAAAATACCTTAATTATTTATGGAGACAATTTCTTTCTGTTTTGATCCTATCGTCTTGGCCGATACACGTATCGTCCAAGACGATTTGCAAATGACGGCTGCCTTAATTAAGAGCCCCTGGTTAGATTTTCTGTTTTAAGCCCGATCGTCCAGGATGATGTAAATATCGTCCTGGCCGATTTGAGTAAAAATAGAAATTCTAAGTCTCTCAAGTGTGTGTGTGTGTGTGTATGGTTACTTAGCATTAGTCTCTTTGAACATTACAATTTGACTCAAGAAGAGAAAATGCAAAATACAAACTGACTCAACTCTAACCTACGCAATCTTGAACTGGCTTGATTTGTCATCTGATTTCTTGGCACTGAAATGTCAGTTATAAGAAAGGAAATCATAGTGTTTACTAATCATCAAAAGTGTAATTCATGAACCAACAGATTTGCAACAATCACCCCCTTTTTGATGATGTCAAACACAAGTAGAAAAATCTCAGTAAAAATAGCAGTTCATTAAAATTTCAAAGTTACAAGCATCAACTTTTCCTACCACATCCTACTCCCCCTTTTATCATCACAAAAAGAGGGTCCTAGACACACATAAAGAAAAAAGGAAGAAAAAAAAACAACATAAACTAAAACAAACTACAAGAAAAACTACAGAAAATAAAAAATAGAAAACAAAAACTAAAAAAATGAGGGATCATGATCATCAGATGGAGGTGGTTGAGGTGGTTGCTGAAAGTAGCCAGCTAGCATAGTAAACTGAGCATTGAACCAGGCGATGTCCTGGTCATGCTGCTGCTGCTGGTGAGTAATGAAGCTATCAAAAAGGGCTAAGTCTTCTGTGCGGTGCTGCTCGTAGCGGGCCATGTCCTTAGAATGTTGCTGCTCCTGTGCAGCAATGTAAGCGTCGAAGCGGGTCTCCCATTGATCAAACCTCTCCACTAACTGGTCAAACTATGAGTGCTGGCGAAGAGGGGCAGGATCAAGAAGAGGAGCGGGAGCCTCCTCCTCCTCGGCCCCCTGAGGTTCCCCATGCCCTGGGTGGAGATGAGTACTATGAAGGAT